TAAATGCATTTCAATACAAACCCTGGCCTTATTGTATTAAGTGGTCATTACATTTTAAGACTTTTCAAGACTTCAAGATTCCCTGTTTGTTGCATTGTGGGACAGTGAATGTGTGGTCAAAGTGAGATTTAATCATTTGTTTAAATCAGGCTTTTATCCCAGTGTCAACATTAACGATGGCTCTATTCAGTTCAAGTGTCCCAGTATGACAGTGCAGCGGCGAGTCAGCATGTAAAGACCACAGTCCTGAAGCTGAAGCACCTAAATGGAATTCAGCCATCATTCATTTTATAATATAATTATAATTTATAATGAACCTACTGTGACATAGCAACATATCTGATGCAAAATTGTCTATTGGGCTAATACTGAGTATTTCATTGGCTATTAACATTGTAGAAGATTCATCAAGTGTTCCTCCTTCACAAGCCTGTTAAGTAATGTCTGTTCTCTTTTTCAGACGGACACCATGGTGGAGCCAGTCCCTGTGTCCATCAGCTTTCCTGCAGAGGAGGAGAAGATCCTGAAGTTTTGGCAAGACAAAGACTGCTTCCAGGAATGCCTCAAGCAGTCCAAGAACAGGCCCAAGTAAATCCAACTGTTTTGATTTGTAATAATGAGCTTACTAAGCAGAAAATATTCCCATTGGAAGCTCTTAAAGCACTTTACTGTGAATACTTTGTGGTTTAGAATGGCAACATACTCATCTCATTGAATCTTGTTTACAGTGAATGCCATTTCAGCTGTTTCACTTCCATGTTGAGAAGTTGCATTTCCTGGTTAACCAGTTTTTCTTAGACTCCATTGTATCATTTCTGAATTCAATCATAGTGAATGTCAGTGTATAAAAACGCAAAGCAAGAAATGCATGGCCTATTATAACCAGTTAAATTGATTAATAAGCATAGTTATGTTTTTAAAGTCACTATCAGAATCACAATCAGATTTATACATTGATCACCTTTGCAAAATGATTTTCATTTATAGCAAACAAAAGACTAAATGTCATGATGACATACTGTGTAGCAAACAGAGCAGAAGTGAATTACCAAAGAGAAACTTTGGTCCCATATCGGCCATCACTAATACTAATAGACTTGTTATGGAATAGACCCAATACCTGCCTATCCCCCAAACAGATACACCTTCTATGACGGCCCTCCCTTTGCCACGGGTCTCCCCCACTATGGTCATATCCTAGCCGGCACCATCAAGGACATTGTTACTCGCTTTGCCCACCAGAGCGGCTTCCATGTGGACCGGCGCTTTGGCTGGGATTGCCATGGCCTGCCTGTGGTAAGAGTTTGTCTTTCCTAAATATCGGTTCATTTTGAACAGAGTTGTGTAAAGATATGCAGATTTATTTATGTCCAATGTCCTGTGTGTTTTTGTAGGAGTATGAGATTGATAAGACTTTGGGGATCAAAGGGCCTGAAGATGTGGCCAAGATGGGCATCGCCGAGTACAACAAGCAATGCAGGAACATCGTCATGAGATACTCCAACGAGTGGGAGGTGAGCACACACACCGCACTTGTGAAACCAGTTTGGCTGTTACGTGGCAGTTAAATTACACGTCTTAAACTTAAAACAGGGCACTGAACTCGTTCTTAAACAGAATGCGGCTAAGTGTATCTCATCTCTGCAACATAAAGTCCCCTCGAAAACGAATCAAATAAAAAGCTAAACTCTGAACTCTCACTTATTTTACTGAAACCCAAATGTCGTCAGTTTACAACAACAACAAATGAAGTG